TTTTGCTCCGGGTTAGTACAAAAAATTAGAAATCTTAACCCACTCCATGATGGAGTGATACATAACCCGGGTTGATGGCAGAACATTATGCTCCATTTAACAACCCTACTTATTGAAATCAAAACTCGGAGCAGATCTTGCTGGGTAATTATAAGATTCTCATCAAGATGGTAAACAATTGGTATTTGGCTTTTCGTAATCAATATTAATATTATTGACATTAATATAAATATATAATTAATTACAAGATGTCAAGGCAGAAAAAGAAACAATTCAAATATGAAACATTTCGATATGTGACGTTTGATTATCGGAAATTTGACAAGTGTTGAAGCACACACGCTACCTTGAACATTTTACAGTCATTCTCACATGTTCCTCGTGTGCACAAGACTGATCTGACTGAGTCATCCTCGATGATATGATGATGCAACAGAATTCCAGGGGAGGGATGTTTGGCCCTGGAGTTTACCGAGACTGCATCAATTGTCAATGACGCTTTCACTAATATTCCCAGACCAGAGACGGCTGGCATGTTAGCTGACAAGTTGACTACAACAATCCTACCTCTAGGGTAAGGATGGATCTGTGTCCAAGAAGTCGCAACTCTGGAGGAATATTAAGAGAACCTGCAGCTTGTTTCAAGCACATGAGGTTACAATTCGGAGTGAGGCTGGTGACCCTGAAATTGCATTTGGCTTTGATGTTAAGAGGAAAGTTGTAAAATAGTGTTTGTTGTATAATTATTTTCCTAAATTCTCTGTTTCTTTAATTTTTATTTGACTAACTGAATTTGTTATTTTTAAATGGGGGCCTTTGCCCATATAACCCACCCTAGGTTAAATGAGTGTGGATCAATGAGAGTGCGTATCTTACAAGTATAAGTGGCAGCTTGACTCTGCCTGCTCCTAGAAGTAGACGAAGCTTTTTATTTTATAAATGTCTTTGATGAGAGATAATAAAGCTGGTAAAGATATGCGAATCATGATAAACAACACATTTTATTGTTTGTTATGCAAAATAATGTTGTATCGTGAACCGCTATTATTTTCGTTACACACTGTATGTGTACATATCAGGGATTGTGAATGCAATAGCTATTAGATCCATTCATTAGCTCATTATTACATATGACTAAACATTTATTTTTCTTCTTTTGGATACTTTTTTTTTTCCACCTAAGTATGAAATGAATTACCACCAGCAAGTTCACAATTAGAACAAAGATGGCATACAGTTTGATGCATGTTAAGCAAATCTTCATTTATCTCAACTAATAAATTATTCCTGCCATAATAGTAACAAATAGGTGGGTTTTTTTTGCGAGATGAATAATATCCATTTTCAATAGGAGAATAATATGTGATAAATTGATGAACAAAGACAACATCTTTAAGCATCTGTGAGGTAAGCATCCAATCTTCTATTCCGCAAGTATAGTTATTTTCATCATTTCGATAAATCCATTTTGTAATTCTTCAAGAAACTGTGTATCTTTTGAAAATTTTTGGTTTCTTCAATATTAATTATGCCAGATTTTATGACAGTAAATTTATGAAAATTTATATAAATACTTTCAGATAGTGAGCCTGAACCATCAGGTGAATCATTATTAAATATAAATAGAGAAGAAATTGATTTTTAGTCAAGAAGATAATGAAAGTTTAATTACTACTACTACAACTATAACTACTACAACTATAACTACTACAGGTATAACTACTACAAGTACAACTAATACTATACAAGAAAATGAATCTAATTCATCAAACACTTCACGCGAAACTTCTTGGGTTTGGGAATTTTTTTCAAAAGAATATAATGATAAACAAGAAATTATTACATATATTTGTATAATATGTAAAAATCGGTATATTTTTTTTTATTTTCTTTAAATGAGAATTATAATTATTGCTCCATGGAGCAACCCGGAGCAACCCATGGAGTATTAACCCAGTACATTTAACCCGGGTTGAGTTAGGTTAAACCTTGCTCCACTATAATATGAACCCAACCCAACCCATTATGTTCCATTAACAACCCTATCAATAATGCAAATTAAAAAAAAGTTACCTCTGGTTAGTTATTAACACGTTTGTTTTTGGAACCAATCGTGCTAAACAACAACACTCGCGTTTTGTCATCTGTCAAAAAATAAAAAAAATCAATCGCGTCAATAAAAAAAAAAACAGGGGTCCATACATAAATAATTAGTGTATATACGCATTTTTGTCGATCAAATAAAAATTATTTTTATAAAAAAAAAAACAATGTCTTTTACGACGAAAAAAAGAAAATTACTAGATGATCATAACCATGAGATCATTCATGGGTAAGTGTTGTTTATCGTAAGAATGGTGGTGGTGGTTATCGCCACCACTCGTCACTAGTTTTTTGAAAAATTGGCATCATGGTACAAAAAGTTCAGCGACTAAATGACTTGCACTATAATTGACTTGTTGCCTTTTATCATTACTCCAAGAAGCATACAGATATGAAGGGGTATCTTCATTATAACCTATTATTTTATCATTTATAATAAAAATTCACTATGATTAATCTAATTTTATACTCAAGAGAAATCATGGTGATAATAATGAAGACACTGAGACTAACATTAACAATAATGAAATAGTTGAAATTACTCAAACAAATAATGTTATAATGCCAACAGTTGAAACATATCAACCAATTGATAACAATCAAAATAACCAATCATTAAATAATATTCATAGAAGTAACAATCACCATCAACATCATCAAATCTCCTCATGTCATTCTCATACCATCCCCGAACAAGATGTTGAATGAACAAGAAATTATTATTAATGCTTCAGAGGATGAGCTAGTTATCATTCCTATGCAAGAACAAGAAATTATTATTACTGCTTCAGAGGATGAGCCAGCTACCATTCCAACTATATTTGCCCATCAAAACTCAAAAGGAAAATGGACAAATCAAGAAGTAGGTATCCTTTTGAAATTTGTTTTGGATAAAAAAGTTAATACTGAAAGAATTAAACAATTGGGGATTCATAGAACAAATGCAATATCCAATAAGGCAAGATTAATGAAATAACAGATAAAAAATTTATTTGGTGTTTAAAATGTATATTTGGCAATAATAATTTACAAATAAAAAAATCATTATAATGATTGTTGTATGTATAGTTTTTTAAAAGTTATGTGTAGTTTATAAAAACAACATAAATAATAATAATAAGCCAGAATTACAACAGGTATTCAATTATTTAAAGTTAAATAACAAAACTTTAAATCAATCCAAGTAAGGCTCTGAACAAATCAATGAAATTCAAATCAAGATCAAATCACCTAATTTTCCTGAAATTTTGGTAATACAAATGTTCACGTCTGGTTTTGTTGCAAGCATGCCCCATATATAAATCATGCAAGAAATGTTTGGCATAGCACGTGTGACTCTGGTAAATCACCACCAGCTCAAAAATTATCCCAATGTGACAATACAAAATTAATTAATACTAATACGGTGATTCTTTATCATATAATGACGAACAAAATTAACTTTCACTTGACATGGTATAAATTTGTGAAATTATTATAGTAATAAATATTTCATTATTATTATTTTTTTTATTTATTTTTTGGTAGAAAAAGATGCATTGGAATATTGGCTTACTGAACATTTACGTTTGAGAGGTGTTTAACGGCTTTTAGTTCTGTTAGATCATGTCGACACACTTAATAGAGAAGATGTAGTTAAATATTTGGCTTTTTATCAACATGAAAATGGTGCTCAAATCACATAAACAAATAAATAAAAGTTTATTTATTACATATATTTGAAAAAAAAAACCATCAAAGACTTATTTATCATTATGTATTATTATCATTGATTTAGGAGGATTTGGTGGACAGATTGGTCATTATCCACATTCATTGCACACATTGACGCAGTTCAAAATTTAGTAGTAGAAGATTCTTTGGAATCAGTTAATGTTTATAAAATTGTTGAATGTCAGTTGACTATTCAACACAATTATATTTTTCCTGTTGTATGACATTAACATATTTCAAAAAAAAAGTTAGATGTTGCATCTCGACAAGATCAAACCACCGGTGTTTTTACAGGGGATGGACAAGGAGAAATTGTTTAGATGCTGAGAATGTTCAAAAAGCAGTGGAATTTATAATATTGTGTAAGAATTTTTATGGCGGATTGGAAGTACACCTGGTGCAGGATCACATGCAGGCCAAAGTTAGAATTTTTTTAAAAAAGGAAAATCATTAATTAGAAAATTTTATCAAAAGTTTTTTGTTGTGTTGGTGCGCTTTGCTATAGTGAATTCATTATATCTGGTTGATGCAGATTTGCTTTGTGTACGTCAATTAAAAAATGGAGGGTTAATTGAAAGATCAGAAAAACTTGAGAATGGTAATATTTTTTTATTTTTTTTACATTGATCACTTAATTTATATTACTTTAGTTATGTTATTCTTATCTGCTCTTAACCGATTAATAAAAGTAAATCAATTAGCTCAGCTACTTATATATAAATATATATAAAATTCAAAATTATTTAAAAATATTTCTTTTGTGTTAAGACCTTTACCATTATTTCTATGCAGTATTGCTGATAGACCATGTGATGTGTTTCATACATTATTTAGGATTGTAGGTTATATTTTCTATTTTATTATTAAAAAAAGGATTATCGTTATTTGTTATCTAGGATTGAAATTAGTAAATCCAGTTTATTGTTTGCCAAAACATATTGTTCAAAGAATTGGTTTAGCAGAAAAACATCACATATAATAATATATACTTAATTATTCAGGAATATTATTATTTATTGCAAACAATGATAATGGTGATAGTTAATTAAATATAGTTTATTATTATTTTTTTCCAATATATCAAAAAATTAAATTATTATAATATTATTATTGTTATTATTATTATTGAAAAAATTGATTTCTTCTTCCATTGCTAATAATACAAAAATCATTAAAATATAATATCCTCGTCATCATTTTTTTCCAATAAATCTCGAGGTCTTGAATCATATGAAGAATAATCTTCTATGAAGAGCAGTAAATATTAGAAAAATTTCAATTTTAGAAAAAACGAGGGGGGGATAATATTAAATAGTTACCAGCATTTTCTATAAGTGAAAGCACTTTCTTTTCTTCTTCGGCTATCTTTTGATCTTTCTTCTTTTTACCTTGTACCTTTTTTAATCTTTTATATTGAAAAAAATAAATAAATAAATATTGTTTTTTTAAAAAAAGCCTATTTTTTTCAATTCACCTAAAAAATTCTTCACGATCTTGTTCATCTAATTCAGAAATTATGTATCTGATTGTATTTTCTAATCTAGGTATAATAACATGTTCTATAGCATTAACACGACGGTTGGTTACTTTAATGACTTCATCCAAAATCACAAATGCGGTCTAGAATGATGTAAATAATTATTGTTCAAAAACATTTTTTTCTAAATTTCTAATTTTTAAGAAAATATTCTTACTTGCAATGAAGCCAATTCTACCAAAGTCTCCACTGCTTTAATATATGTCTCTTTACATTTGTGAACTTGTTGACCACCTCTTCCCAAACCAGTTAACTCAAAATCTAAAGTTTTATATCAATCAATTGGTGCATTAAATAAACAAATGTAAGATGTATGTATATGGTCAACAAACCATTTCCTCCCTCCGTATAATGTTCAAAAACCGGTAACATGACACCAGAGACATTTTCTTGTTTGGTACGAACACGTAATTGAGCACTCTTGGCACTTTCTTGAACTTGATAACTAAATAACATAAAGCCGTATAATATTATAGTAATAGTAGTAATAATAAAAAAGTTACCGTTTCTTTTTTCTTTCCATTTAAATGAAAGCTCAAAATCTTGCTTTATTACAAAAATATTAAATAAACCTAATGTCGCCAGCAATATAAGTCACTTCTGCTAATGAAAATGAAGCTGTTTGCATAACTTTTCCCATCTTTCTTTTAGCCTAATATACTCCAAACAATAAAATCTGTTTAATATTTAAAACAGCAATTTCAAAAAAAAATTTTAGAAAAATAAAAACTCTCAAACCTCATCAATTTTTTGAGTTATAGTTCGGAACCGTTTTGTTAATGCTTCACTTTTACGCTTTAACAAACTATGACCAGTTTGTGCACCTTTCAATTTTACCTTCATTGTTGTTAAAGCCCTAATCATATACGAAAAGGTATACTGTTAAGCTTTAATAATTCTGTTACCCCCAAAAATGTAATTAATAGTGGAATAGAAAGGTAGCATACATTCGGGTGGGAAAAATGTTAAGTCTAGGGCCTGTTCCTGACATTGTTTAATTCTTTTTATAATGTTAGTGATTTAAAAAAATTTAATAGATTTAGGTTTCAAAATAATGGTTTATTGTAAATGATCTAATCTGGATATCAATTTCTTGATAATCAAATAAATATTAGGTAACATATTATTTATTACTATCACAACATATTAATATAATAATAATTAAAACACTGTTCCGTCAGATTTTATAGCAATAGGAGGTCCACGTGTCTTTGGACGTAAAGAAGCAGCAAGTTCTCTTCCAGCCTAAAAATCATATATAATTAAGAATTACCCTGAATATTATCAGAAGGTTAGAAATCATCAAATAAAAATATCACGCACTTTCCATGTCCCTGCCTCAAGTACTTGAGCTAATGAGAGTTGTTGTTCAGATAAACCAAGGTGATCTCTAATTCTCTGTGCTACTATATCTAAAAGAATTACTGTCATGGCACGCCATTCAACCACCAAAGAATCATCAGCTTCGAACATCGGAACAACCTCCAAATCATTTTTTGAAAATTTTTTGGCGTAATCGAGACCACGATCCATATCAATTGATTTGAGAGTTAAAACACCAGTATCAACAAAAAGACCACCTTAAACAATTCATAATATATTTATTTACATGCAATTAATTAAATAAATGGAATTTACGTAAATTTTATGCAAATGATATGTATATATAGTTTAAAAACCATTTCTATATTCTGGCAATCCAGTCAAATGTTCTACTCCCTCAAATTTAACACCATATATTTTAGTGATCGGTTCCATAAGCGAATAAGTTAGCCATTGCGAAAGTTTATGAAATGGAATAAGGTTTTCTGTAGGATCATCGACATGTGCATCTGATGTTTTTTTAAGACCATCAAATGGCCATACATCTCCAAGAGAAATTCCTGCCACTGAAGTTCTTGTTGGAGGCCAGACATCTGAAAAACCATCAACAATAACTGACCATAATGTATCAATTTTTACCACAATATCATTCTCTTGTTTTATCGAATTTGATAAAAGATAATCTGTAATGATTTAAAACTTTTTTAAATGTTGATTCATTTATAATGGTAATAAATTATTGTTATTATAATTTAATACCTAATAAATTTCCAGGTCTTGGTGGCTAAAGATTCTTTGTGAGTAATAATTCTATTTGATATTTAATTTTACTGAAAAGATTATAACTATATTGGGTACAAATAAATATATCTATAAGACATACCAAATTATCATTTAATTTAAAAAACTCAGGATGACTTTTCAATGCATGACCCAACCTAACCAACAAATTGGAACGACCTTCAAGACCTGCCAAAAGGTTATTATCATTAACCTGAAAAGATTTACTAACATCATTTACACTAATATTTATCAGTTTGTCAGCTGAAATTTTAGATAAAATAAAATAAACATTATAATTGCCATTCAATGTGTATATATATTTGATATATAATAAACAATGCTCACCATTAACTTGATGTGGTTGATTTTCTTGACTAGAGAAAATGCCAGACTTAAACATATCCAATGAAGCGATAGCTAATCCTTCAGATCTATTATACACTTCACCGGATCCAATTTCCTTATAAGACCAAGTATTTCCAGCACCAGCATCTAACAAAACTGACACAACAAATAAATCAAGAATTCTCCGAGTTATTTCAAGTGTATCACAATCATCTTTCCAAGAATTGATCAGAGTCCAAATACGTGAATGCCCCCCAACATCAAAATGACGCCAACGGCCATGAGGTGGAATATCATTGATATTTTTATAATCACGCTTAATAAGTGAGGCCATTACATTAATAACCTCTTGGATATTTGATAGATTTACATGGAAATGATCAAGGTTGTTGGTTTCGCCCTTTTGATAAATTTTATTTGAACGTTCGCGAATGGCTCTTAAACTTTTAAGATAATTTATTTTTTCCAGCAAATCCAAATTATCGGCTGACATTTCTGTATTTTCTTGAATAATGATGATGCAAATTTTCAAAAATAAGAATACAATTGCAATTGTTAATATATGTGATAAAATTGAATTCACATAATTCATATGCAATGATTTAGTGTAACATTAATGATGATTACGATTTTGTGTAATTTCTATGTTCCCGCGACTGTCACGTGACTCCAGTCATAATTTTAGATTTTATTTTACCGTGCGCAACCAATAAAATTAATTTATCAAAAGGTTCTTTTTTTGTATAAATATATATATTTCATTTTATATAATTAAAATGTTTGAAGATTTTGGGTTCATCACACACAAAATTTCTACATCCTAAAACAATTACGAAAAAAATGTATTGATATTTTCTGAAGGCAAAATTAATAATTTCATTTAAAAAAAAATTGTGTTACGTATTAATATATACTTTCTTAAATTTTATTTATAAAGATGCATACTATAATTATAATTAATTAATAAATAAATAAATAAATAAATAATAATTACAACACAAGCACTACATAATGAAAAAATCACATATGAACACACTGTATATGAGTATTAATAGGACTTCCTTTTTCTATTGTACATAATTCCAAAAGTTCTCTAGCTGCTGACAACGATATACGTCCTTGTTCAATCATACGTTGTGATATACTGGAGACAGTATCAGTTGGACAACCGGCTGCTATAGCTAGATTTTTTGCGTGTAAACTCATATGACCTCGTTGTATTCCTTCAGTTGATAGTGCTCTGAGAGCTGCAAAGTTTTGTGCAAGTCCTACACACGCCATAATCTTTTTTAAAAAAAAATTAATTAAATAATTTATTGTTTTTATAATGTATTATAAAAAAATTTATAAATACCATTGATAATTCTTTAGTATTAGGATATCCCATAATTCCAAGGTTATATGAATAGACAGGGTTAGTTTTCAAGACACCACCAGCAGTGCCAACAGTTATTGGCATTTCCAATTCACCACAAAACATTAATTGTTGTTGTTTTTGGTAATCACCATTGCCATTTTCATTTTTTTCGATCCAATAAGATGTTAAAGGTCGATAATAATTATAATCATTGCCATTATCATCAGCATCTTTATTGTTGTTGTTGTTTCTCGAATTATCACAGGCCCATGCGTGAGCAGCAGCTTCAATGGCCCTCCAATCTTGACCAGTAGCAATGGCAACAGCATCAATTCCATTCATAATACCTTTATTATGGGTTGTAGCACGGTATTCATCTATTTCTGCAAATTCATAAGCCTCTATCATTTGATTAGCCACCTTTTCACCTGATAGATCTTTATAAGCAAGCATTGATACTGGTATAGAAAACGATGCCTGATAGTTTAGAAGTTGAATGGTTAATAGATGATAAAAAATTATTTTATTTATTTAATAGCAATAATAATCATAGATTTATATTTATAGTTACTTTAACAATTCTTTCCACATTTAAATTGCTTACTATTCGTAAACCAATTCTACCACCTGTTATCTCGCTCAATAATGGTGCTACACCTTCAGCCACGCTACTTGCACAATTAGCTCCCATGGCATTACATACATCTATTTTCAAATGTATAATTAACCATTCGTTGGAGTTTGGTAGATGATTGTTGTTATTATTATTGATATTTATAATGGGTCTTTTGTTTTTACGTGGGACTCTCCTAACATCGATATCTAATACTCCGCCACCTCTTTCAACCATATTTTCACAAAATTTATTAGCAAATTTAATTATTTCTATTTTATTATCCAATAGCTAGTTTATTTTGTCCATAAAGAAAAGAAATCAAAAATCAATTTCAAGTTACGTAATTACAATAATATAATCATCTCAATAAATAAAATCAATATTACCTTTTTAATTGACAGGTTCATGGAATCTTCAGGAATATCTAAAAGAGCAACCTGAGCTATTATCATATTTCTTTCAGGAGCTATTGCTGTAAAACCTTTATAAGAGGATATTGTTTTAGCAGCTCCAGAAACAGCAGCAATGACTGATGGTTCTTCGATTGACATAGGTATAACTATTGGTTTATCATTGATTACAAAATTAAGAGCTAAACCAACTGGCAAACCTATTGTTCTATTTAATATAAATTATGTTAGTTATTATATAGGTTATAGTTAATATTATAATCAATGATTAATAAAGGATATATTACCCTATACAATTTTCAATCATATTATCAGCAATATTTTCATCAAGTCCGTTGATAGGAAAATTATTATCGTTAACATTTAAAGATTCCAATTTGTTGACCAAATAATTGACTTCTTTATTATTATTTGTAAAATTTAAACTAATGGGTGAAGTACAAGGAGAAGTATTAGGTGTTGCGTATACTGAAGAAGAGGTAGATGATGTTGATAATGGTGCTTCTTCAGTGGCTCCTGTTGTTATTGTGTTATTGTTGTTGAAAATATTTGGAAAGACCAGCTTTACCTGATTTTGACGTTCTTGCAAAGGCTTTTTATAAAAGCCCGACCATGTTAAAGTGTCATTGTTATTAAAATTTGTTTTGTGGGTGAATCGGTGTTGCATTATCGTTTGTGTAAACACTTTTAAAGAACAAGTGTTTTATTTTCAAAAAAAAACAGAAATTGAACCAAATTACCAACAATACTAATTCCTTTTATTTTATTTATTTACATTACCATTTTGACCATTTTGGGAAATTTTACATTTCTATATAAGTGCAACATAAAATTAGGTTAACCTTTTTTTCATATGTAAAAATTGTTCAAAATAAAGATATCTGGTATTAGAGATCCGTTATAAAGAGAATGAACTGCATTTAAAGAACTAATAAAATCATATTAATATAGTTGTTGATGTTCTTAATAAACCATAATAATTGTTGTCAATAATTTAGTATTAAGGTCTTTAGAAAATAGAAAGGGACACAAAACTTCTATATGCAGATCATTTGACCTTCCAATTGTCAAAAGTATTAATGGTTATACTATATAGTTTAGATTGATCAAGATTTCATTGAAATATGTCAAAAATCAATGAGATTGTCAAAAAGAATACGAGTGTTATTGATTCTATTAACGAAACTTTAGAGAGTGTTAGTCCTGATATATAAATAAATTTTTTTCTTTACCTATAATCTCATTGACATAAAAAATAGCTGAAACTTATAATAATAATATTAAAATCTTTTCAATGTGTTCGAAATTCGACTGCACCTTAACAATAAACTAGTCTAAATTTGGAAATCACATTTCCGGGTTTGGTTAGCGCGAGTCGATTCAAATAATCCAGGCGTGTTAATGTAACGATCTATAGATCTCCATTTTTTCAAAAAAAAAAAAATATGCCATCTTGTAAAAAGATTCGTGAAGAGTTGATCGATTGCATGCTCAAGTCAGATTGTGTACTAGTTAAAAGACTTACTATTAAAGGTGTGAACAATTACTTTTATAAAATGTGCATGGGAAGCAAGTGAATTATTTAATTGACTCTAAAAGCATCCAGATATTCATTACAAAATTTCTTTATTGAAGAATGTTTTAAACCTGAAAATTATGATGACGTTCCTAGAGATTGTCATAGTATTCGTAAAAGTTTTTTTGAGTGTCGAAGAGGTTTGGTAATTGTTATTATTATTATATATTAATTAATAATAGATTATATGTAATATTTATTTTAGATTGAAATATAATCTAATTTATTATTAGTTGGATATGAGAACTAGATTTCGTGGTAACAAATCATGAAATTGAATAAAATATTCGAGGATTAATTGATTTGGATATTATGTTTATTATAAGGACATTTCTTTATTCTAAGATTTTTAATTGAGAAAAAAAGAAGAAAAAATTATAATGTATGTAAATATAAATATAATGTGGATTCCTATAAAGAATTTTCTACAAAATCAGAAACAAATCAGGCGTTCATATTTTACTGGATTATAAAAGATGATAACTGTTAAAGGACAAAAATCAGTAATAAACACCAATTTAGGAATACCTGATTTAAATTCTTTTTTTTATTTACAATCCTGATATTATGAGAATCAGCGATTATTTTTATTTATTATTAAAATTACAAATGATACCAAAATTGTTTTTTTTAATCTGCTCATATATTTTATTAGAAAATAAAGTAAAATTAATATGATGCTATTCCTCTTAGAAATAGCCAAAGATCCAAACAAAATATATGAAGTTTAGCCAATGAAATCAAATGTCCACTATGCTTTGAAAATTACAAACATGATCGATCAACAATAGTAATTTGTCATGTGACAATTGCATTTATAATTTTTTTTAGGAAAATTTCAATAAAAATAATAAATGTCTACTTTAAGTGTTGACACTGAAAAAAATAAAGACAAGATTGACCAAATCATCAAAAACAATAATGGCAGCAAAATGATTGAAGTGAGTAATGAAGAATTTTATGATGATGATTATTTTGATTCTGATTTAACTGATGATGATGGTGATTATGATGATAGTAGTAATAATAGAAATAAAAATTTTAAAGGTTTTTTTTTATTTATGAAACTTTTCTTTTAATTAATAATATTTGTTACTCTATTCACATCTCTAATTAATTCAATAATCAAGGAACAATGTCTAATCTGAAAAAAACTAGAAAAGAATATCGTAAAGTTTTAACAAATGATGAACTATTTTATGACCCAGATGTGGATGATGTAAATGAATTATGGATGCAAAGAAAATTATCAAGTTAGTTATTTATATATCACATATTTGTATTTATATTTATATTTATATTTATATTTACTATTTATATTAATTATTGATAATATAGAACATAACAAAACATCTTCAGATCAAAAAACTTCTACTACACCTACAAATGAAACTGATGCAATATTGTCATGCCCAATGTGTTTTACCATACTAAGTTATCAAACACAAAAGTACAAATTAATCATTTTTGTTTTTTTTTTGCCAAATTATTTAATATACATATTTATAGTTATATGATTTTATATATTTTATAGACATGAATTATATTCAAATCAATACCGAGCAATATTTGTGGAAAATTGTAAAGTCAATTATTTAGAGAAACTGGTTTATAAAGAAGACACGGAAAGTAAAAAATCCAAGAAAAAAATAAACAAACAGAACAAAGCAATAGATGATGAAAAAGTTGATAAATCAACACAAACATCAGAATTAAATAATAGTAATAATAGTAGTACTACGACTAATAATAATAGTACAATAGAAGAGATCTATTACCCTGTTGAATGTTTGAATTGTGGAACCAAAGTTGCTGTTATGGATGTAGAAGAAGTTTTTCATTTTTTTAATGTTATACCTTCTTAACTGGATCAAAAATATATTTTAAATTTATCTCAAAAGAGGGATTTAAGATGTATATACACTGTATATTTATTTATAAAAATAAAGCATTCTGCAGATGTAGGAGGGTGAGTTAAAAAATTATTTATTTATTTCTGCTCAACTATATCTTGACTTCTAGTATATAAAATTATAATATATATATATATATATATAGTATATAAATTATACATAAATATTTAAAAATTGCCTCAATCATAAATTTTTCCTTTTCAACTTATAAACTTCATGTTTTTCTAACAAATGAACATTTCTAGTATGATTTCTGAGATTTACACTATTTTTGTAAGCAAATGAAATCAAGGTTCTTATGATTATAAACAACAAGATTTACCATTAATACCATCACGTATTGTTGATTTAATATTATCTGAATCATATAAACAATTTGTTAGAATGATATAATGGATGTTGATGATCTTCAGTTATTAAATCACTTAATTGATTTTGATCAATCTTGAAAAAACCAAATTTTCAAGTACTTCAATCAAATATCCTGTATCCAACCAATTTTCCAGTTTCTTTAATTTTCATGATAATTATAGCCTTTTCAGTGTTATAACATCTATTATCACCTTAAGTCTCGGAAAATGTGTTTAACTTAACCAGAAATTAAAAGCTTTCATTTCTGAACTTGGTAATTTTCCATTTTCTGACCTTGGATATTTTAAAGAAGTTGCCAGTCATTTGTTGATAATAACGCGAAGGGATTCTTGGTATACTTGTTTATTAAGAACTTTTTCACAATGTCTAATCTTTTCATTAAATCATCTGTTGAAATTTAATTGAATTTTAACAGTGGGATTATTTCTTTTAACAAGTTTTCAATTTTTTTGCATTCATTCCATTTTTTTCATCCATTTGTCCGATACCACACTTAATGATGTAACCCCAAATTTCGACTTCGATTATTTTCAGATTAGCATTGACTTTTCTATAATTGTGTGGCCAATACTTTGGATGTTTTGATGAAATTTCATAAATGTGAATTAAATTTTGTTTTGTTGAATCCATCCATTCATTTTCTTTAATGATTAAATGAATGATTTTGTAAAATGTAATTCAAGAATTTCATCTGAACCCAGTTTACCTATTTTAACAGGCCCACATAAATCTATCTTTTAATAATAAAAATAAAAGCCTAAAATCATTGTATTTGATATATTATCTTTTAAATTTACATTCATTAAAAGAAATTTGAAGATATTTTCTTTTTCACAGACCTTGTTTTAAAATTTTTGATATCCATATCCATTTTAATTCTATATTGATATATAATTGATTATGACTAATATTAATATATATATTGTTTTACTTGATCAAAAACAACGACATCATGATAATAATAATTTTGACTAAAATAAATTAAAATAATAATAATGATCTAAATATTACATAACTCGAATGTTTTATTTATACATATATATAAATAGGCAAATAATTCAAAAATGAAAAATAAATAATAATTAAAAATGACAACACCTAAATTACCAGAACCAAAAAAAGGTTTTTTTGGTGGTATCAACGATGCTCAAAAAATAATTATACTTTCAATTTTTGTATTATTATTTGCAATTATTACAAGTGTTTATTATGTTGGATTGTATACAGTAATGAATTGGCTGTATGGTTGGATTCTGGATAAATTTGTTGATAAGGTCGATAAAGATGCTACTCAAATTAATGATAAAATCAAATATAATTAATGAATGGTAATTGTTATTATAAATATATTTATTAATATTAGTAATGATACATGCATAATAACTTAATTTCAATTAATATTCTAGTGTTCTATATATATTCAATTCTATAAAAATATAAAAATATATTTTTAAAAAAAGATTTTTTACAATTCTAAAAAACATCTTTGACATATTCCCCATTTTTTATCAAATGTTTTTGATTTTTATCTTCTAAAAATTTATAGTTTATTAATGTAATTATTTGATATTTCATAAATCAATAAATTAGCAACTTCATTTGCTAATAAAAATCTCGGGAATAATAATTTTCTTTATAGACTATTTCTTGAATTATTTTTCTTCGTAGTCATTACTCAAAATGACACTCAATTTGTATCCTGATCCATATTTATTTTTAAATCAATTGAAGTTCTCAATGCTTTGATTCTACCATTCAACATCACGCATATTTCAGCTTTTCCATAGAGTGAGTTGTCAAAACTATCACTTTATCTTTCTTAAAGCCGCTCAGACATTTCCAAATATGTCTTCTATTGGCAGGACCCATCCAATATTGTTGGTTCATCCATAAAAATTACTTCAGATTTCCTATTGTTGACATTAATTTTGTTAATCTACGCTTCATGCCTCCGTTAAAAGAACCAACTAGTATTTTACCATAAACTTTATTCAATTTCTATAACTACAACCTCTCGTTTATAACTTCAGTTTGTTCTAACTTCGATGAGTTTTTAATTCCAAAATACAATTCTAAATGTTCTTAAACTGTTAGGTCATCATAATGGACAAACACTGATAAAGTTCAAATCATTTCTCACGTTATAATAATAATTGTGCTATAGACGTAATAATGCACCTCCTCCACTTATTGATGTTGGACTTGATAACGTATTCATAAAAGTAATTTTACCTGCCCCGTTTTGTCCCGAGATTAAACAGTTATTTTTTTTTTTATCGATAAACAAAGTTTATCAACCGTTTTTGTATTTTTGTAAATACTAATTTTTGATTCGTAATCTAAATCGAAAACCAATCCTAAGGCTCCGAACGAATCAATGAAATTCGAACCAATTCGAATCCGAATTGTACTTTGATTCGAAAAGATTCGAATATATAATTTGATTCGAAAAGATTCGAATATATAATTTGATTCGAACGGATTTGAATATATAATTTGATACGATTCGAACTGATTTAATATATAATTTGATTTGAACTGATTTGATTTGATTCAAACTGACTGGTTCGAATCTATAATAATAACTGATTTGAATCAAATACACTATATATAATAAATGAAAAATCTTTATTTTAATGTATATTTTATAATTTTATTTACAAAAATATTTTTTATTTTATATTTATTTATATAGTATAAATATTGTAAAATTCAAAAATAATTTTTACCTGGAGCAATAATTGCATCTCTTGTTGAAGAAATTGAAGAAGTTGAAGAAACATCAGTAATATTAATACTTATTATTTTAGATTTAATGAATTGTACAACTGTTAAATCGTTACCTTTTTACTCATTATTAATAATATAGGTCACACGACCATTAATATTAATATTAATATCAAGAAATCCGTTATTATTAAAAATTCGAATAAATATCATATCAAGAAGAATTTTATTATTATTATCATTAAACCATTCTTAGACCTCAATTCATTAGTATTCATTAAATGGAAGCACACTAATTGAAATTCACTGTTTTAATATAAATTTAAATTATCAAATTAAAAATATAAATTTAATATGACGTTAAATAAATTTTAGGAATCCGGTTTGATTCGAATCGAATCCTGTTTTTTGAATTCGAATCGAATCGAATTGACTACAGATCGAATCGAATCGTATCGAATCACTCTCAAATTCGATTTGATTCGATTCATTCGGAGCCTTATGTATAAATATATTATAAATTTAAAATAATCAAAGATCACATAATACAATTATCAAGAAACAGCCCTTTTTTATTTTCTGGACTTTTCTCTTTCTCTTTGTCATTTTGTCATCATCTTTAAACTTTTAATTTATTTACTTTTTTCTTTTTTAAAGTGTAAACCAGAAAATATATTTATATTTACATGATAAATGACTTCTTTTCAATATAACCTATATATAAAAGACAAACCTTTAAAATATTAATTACTACTTCTGTATTTTCTCCCTCTTCCTCTTGAAAATTTTGATTGAAGATTTCTTCTGTGTCTGACGTTATTATTTATTATTATTTGATTTATGATGACAAGAATTCTGATTCTTTAGAAAAAACCCACATTTTATACAGTCAAACCGAACTTTTGTGAATCGCGAAAATATTCAATTATACTTTAATTATTATTATAATAGTAATAGTAAGGTAGGATTTTATCATTATAAGACGAATTTTAAAATTGGCTTATAATCATATTGATATATAATCTTGTTGAACCTTGAAAATAGAATTTCTATTAGCGGCGGAGATTTTGTTGGAAAAAAAACAAACAATACTTTGAACTTTGGCTCTGTTATAATTTAGCGATTTTCCATTTCGTCATATACATAAAATAGAAAGTAAAAGGTAAAAGGTTAATAATAAGATTAATGGCTTATCACGTAATGGATGATCAGACATCAAATCAAATTCTCTGCAGTGTTATTCCGTGACGGCACAACAAAAGTTCAATATATAAATGCAAATACCGTACACACTGCGAGATAATATAATAGTAATAATGGTAATGTTTCTACTACTAATGGTAATAATGATAGCAATGGCAATGGTAATAATGGTAGTATTAGTGATAATAAATTCTCAGTTCGTTATAGAGTGAAAACTGGTATAGAAAAAACCGTTATAGAGAGAATGTGCAATATACCAGAAGACACAAATTTTGGAAATTTCGAATATTGAATTGAACTAATTTGATTAATCTTTCATCAAATAAATGACTACAAAAATGAAAGCATAAAGGAAATGTTATTTGTTGGAATAGTGAAAATTATCATTAAAAAAAAGGCAACAGAGAATAATTCTTAATGAGTGAAAAATATTAATAATTCATCTCATGTCAATCAGTCCTTGGATTGGGTGCAAATTTACACTATTTTTAGTGGTCAATAATTTATTTGGCTTCACTTCATTTATAAATATCAATAGTCCCGAAATCTTATATATCGATCATTTACATTTAATTAATTCTAATTCGCTAACAAAAATTTTTTATCTTTACTGGTAGTAACACAAACTAAGGAAACTTATCAGCGATAACTTACGTTTTATGAAAAGAATTTTAGTCGAAATTTATATATCAAAAAAAAAATTATGTGTTTAAATCAGGTGATCATTTGACGTTGATAACGTGCACCATAGTGACAATTGTTCACTTTGTCTATATAGAAATGGTCTTAACTCAAAATCGTTCAGACAGATGGGTTAAAAAACCCACTTACATGATTAGTACTTATACAGTCAAGGATATTGCCCTAGATGGAAATCAATTTTAGAATAATCTACATAACTTTATCATGATGTATATACTAAATTTATATATTTATTGTTTTATGGGCTATCGGGAATATTGTTCTGATTTTTATGTGTAACATATTCAATGGGTAAAGTGAATAATTTAATTATAATCAGAGAACATACATAATATTAATCGGTTATGTTTATTATCAATTCTTTTGGATTAAATGAGATATCAATAATAGCTATTAGGGAAAAAATATTGTATTTGTATATAATATTATGCTATATATTAAATACAAAAAAAATGACATTCTCATATTGCGTAATCCTGTAATTTAGAAGTTATATGACCAGTTAATAAAGCTCCGCCATGTTTTTCTAGATTATTATTCAACGAGAGTCCGCATAAAATTTAGCCAATTAAATAAAATTTTATAACGTCGATCACCACGATTTCCATCTAGGGTAATATCAGGACCGGGAAAACTCTATTGAATGTTACTATTACCGCCAACACTATGATTCGAAAGTGCTCTAAAAAAGGAAAGGTAACCGCGACACTATAATCCGGGTCAATAAATAAAGAATTAAAACAAGGAAAAAAAAATACTTCATAGGAGTTGCTAACTAGCCCATTTTTGGTAAATTATTTCCTAACGCTTAATTTGACGGTGATATAAAGTTTTCCCCGGTCCTGTAATATCCCTGACTGTAGTCCCTGCATGCCACATATAACAATTATGCATGTAATACGAAGATCTTATACTATAGTACTAGAAATACATTTTATCTTAATACTATATAAAATTATAATTAACCGATTGATTGATTTTAAACATGATTAATAAATTTGCACCCATTGAAGAGAAAAACAAGTTTTCTGAATATCCTTTATTGGAGGGAAATGATATCATGGAGTTCACACCGGCCAATATTGGACGGCCAAAAGTTTGGGCTCAGGTATAATAATAAAACATATATGCACGCATATATACCAATTTACTTATTTATGCGTCTGCGTGTATTTTTCATAGACTCGTCAAGAACTCTGCGAGTCATTAGATTACTTCCGAGCGTGGCAGAGTGGTGTATATTTTCAGATGAATACAGTATATGGATTTTTGGTAGATGGATTTGGTTCGTCAAGAGATGTTTGCAATGGACGTGTGATAATTTCTCACGGGTAAATATGCAACTATTAGACTTTTTGGAATTTTAAAATTAGTTATTTTCTTATTTTCTAAGAAATAAGAATCAATCAATTGATAGTGGTGGGAAGAGTTTTAAAGGCAAGAATGGAAAATTTAGATTAATTGCGTCTCAATTACTTGATGACAGTTCAATTAAATCACTTATAAACAATTATCTGTATAATAAGCCTGTTGTTTTATTAATTGGAAATAAAAAGAAAGCAAGTTTTCATGTGCCCGCGCGTTATTGTGTTCTTGGGTATTGAGTTTTTTTTCTTTCGATGGATAATGCTCTTTTATATTGAAAGAGTTTATATTAATAGTTTAAAATATTATAAATAGATTCTATATGATAACTCACGTTTGGGTTCAGTATATAATTTTTATTCTTTCCAGATCTAGAAATTTTGATATGCTAAATTTTGATTTTAAAGAATTTTTATTAAATTTAGCCAGAGTATGAAGATTCACAAAATCAAGAAATGGAAGTTGATAAAGTTGATGATAACGACAACTATGAATATAACAAGGCTTCTTTACTTAATAATAATAAAACATCAAAAGTTAACAATGATGATAAAGGCCCTCAACAATTTATGCGTTGGAAATTTCGTTTTGAATGGATCAGAGAACAACAGTATCAACCGTGGTGGGAAAGTCCGAGTGAAACTATTTCATTAAACACTTTAGGCTCAAGTACTTTAAAGCCCTTTAAATGCCCTGAATGCTCGAAATCATCCAGTAAAATATTTAAGCAGGGCTGTATTTGCTTAAATCATGAATGTATACATTTTTGGGAGGTAAAATTTTCATAACAATAAAATGTGCTCATATTTATATTTTATTTTTATTCAATAACATTATGAATAAAATAAAGCTTTTCAGATTTGATAATGTGTGGGAATCAATTCCCAAGGATTTGGAATATGTTGATGAGTTTTTGAGACCTGGTCTTTTTGTATCTATGAATTATTTAAATCTGCCCTTTTCAGTAATGCCACCACCTTTAACACCATCAACAAGTCCATTATTACCATCTTCAAATAAAAATTCATATTTTAAAGATTTTGGTTTTTTATTTTGGAGAGGATTTCATTGTAGAAGATGTGGTCGTTTATCATGTCGTAAAGACTGGCGTGGTTGGAAATGTTTGAATTGCAATGTATGTATTTTTATATTATAGGTCTTAGATTTATTTTTTGAAAAGGGTGATTGACTTTTTCTGTTATATAGTATAAACATTTTGTACCACATCAAATAATTGAAGCTTCAATGTTATCTAATCCACATCGACTTATATTCATTGCACCTGCAATGGATTGTGAAGGATCAATAACTAAAAGCAGCGATATTACTATAGCTCGCCAAATTTTATCAAAAGAGCAGTTATTGATTAAATATAATTTACCTGAAGGTGGTTATATATTACATTTAATTAGTAATAAACATATCACTAAAAAATGCGATGATATTTTTCGTCGTTATCAAGCTGAAGATATGCCCTTTAGACGAAATTGTCTTAAAAGAAATAAGTGTTAATATTTTAAAAATTTTTTTTTGGTTTTTTTTTATTTTGTTTTGATTAAAATAATAATAATTATGAATTTTTATAGTGGATACTGAAATGCTATCTCGTCAATTTACCTTTTGTGTTGGTGAAGAATATATACATGCAATTGATGCCAATAGATTGTCATTTGAAGATGCGCCATCTGTGGTTACTGACACCTTTAATTTTGTTCTTACACAGTGCAAAAACATCTTACCAACAGCGAATTTTAATCAAACACTTTCAATTGCATACCTAATTGATCAAATGGTAACATTATTAGTCAAAATTTATTTTTTTATAAAGAATAACAATTAATGATTTTTTATTTATATATTAGATGAATTGGCATGGTAAATATTAATATATTGGATATTATAATATATATTAAATAATTAATTACTTTTTATTTTAAGATGATGGGGAAACAATGATTGGCCCAATAATTGCATCACTAAGTCTCGGGTCGGATGCAGAGATGAAATTCAGGAGAAAAAAAACCAAGAAATCTTTAAACATGCCATCAGCATCACCAGAATCATCAGCATCATTGGAATCGTTATTGAATGATGATTTTAAATTTTCAGATGTTAAAGGCAGGAATAACATGCCTATTGATTCCCTAGAGTTTTCTCCTAACACGAGATCAAACGGACCTCCATTAATATTAACCTTACATCATGGAGATATAGTTATAATGGTTGGTCATGAGATTCAAAAATGTTATGAACAGTAAGTAATGTATTATTATCATCATCATCATCATCATCATCATTGTTTCTAGATTTTTCTCCAAGTTGATATTTCCTGTTTTTCTGATTTTTTAGTATTGTAGAGCCTAAAGGCTTTAGAATTGCACTAACATTCAGAAATATTACTAGTTATAATAAAGAACATGAGTAATATTTTTAATTACACTTGATTTTGATAATATTGTCCTATACGCACACTCCTTAGTGTTAAACAAAATTTTCTGTCGCCATAATTACAAAACGTACATGAGAACAATACAAGAATTTGTATATCATTTCGTAGCTTAGTTCTTAATAATCTGCGTGCAAATTTCCTGCCATGTCTAAAAAAATAAATAAATTTTTTTTGCCTACCCGAAAAAAATTAATTTGACGATCTGCGAATAGATCAGAGAATCATACATAGTGCTCATTGGGAGGAAGTTGACACAAAAATCACTAATTGGTAACCTTTTGTAACAAAATGTTGAGTTTAATTAAGTAAAGTAAAAAAGGTAACTTTTTTATAGGGCTTAGATGTGTATTATTAATACGATTTTTTATTCGAATGATTCGTAATCGCGTCAAACTTGATTCGAAATCATTCAAATAAGATCCCAGACAACAAAATCGTGTTTTCTAAAAACGAATTTTTTTAGTAAGATTTCCTGAGTTTGATTCGAAATAAAAATTTATTCGTGAATACTCTAATTAATTAATTCACTTGATTCGAATAAACATTATTCAAATAGAACCAGTCCTCTATTCTCTTGACAGAAACCTTGTAATCATGTGATTTGTGGCGTTCCTTAGCTTCTCAACATTATCTCTTTCCGGAAGCATTTTAATCGTTCTGACTATAGTTGTTCTAGAAATATGTGAAATTGTAATTCCACTTTTATAAAGTTTAAAACATAAAGCCTTAAAATTTGCATTAAGTCAACTTTATGAAGTGTTTTATATAATAAAATTATTTATCACGTTCAGATTCGTAAATTTTAGCGAAAATTTTTAGCATAAAAAATACATGACACGTTAAAAATTTTTTTTTTGGTATGCCATATTTTTTCAGACCTTTTGAACGAATTTTTCATTTTTGTTTATTATGTCTAGGGTTGTCGTGATGAACAATAATAAACATCGGTCAAGGGTTGCCATATGGCTCTTATATAAAAGTCAAAGGATTTGTGAAAAGTTGACCTTCAAAATTTTTTAACGCGCGTTTTGTATGACGATCGATCAGATATAATGATAAAAAATTAAATATATTTCTTATTTTATTTTATAGATGGAAAAAGAAAATGGATAAACTTATTCATGAAATATTACAAGCTAAGAAGGACTATAGTGGTATTTGTAACAAGGCTAGTACTGGCGATGATAGTGGTAATGTTAGTAGTTATAAAAATATGTTTAGAGTCTTTAGGAAATGTTAGAAAACGGGAGGGGATATATAAAAATCGAAATCAGACATTATAAAAATCGAAATAAAAAGTAACTAAAAGAAGTCTTATTAGTTTATATGTATATATATATATATATATGATTTATATTATATATAATACGTAATTAAAACTAAAATGAAGAAATTGGATGATAATAATGTTGGTGGACATAATCACCAAGAAAATATGAAAAAATATGAAACAATAGAATCTATGTCAAATTTAGACGAAGAAATCAAATATCCTTTTACAACAATAGTTATCATTTATAACAAATAATTTATTTCTTGACTCTTTTCTTTTCCTATTGTTTTTTTTAATGAATATACAACTTTAAATCTAGATTATGAAAATTTAGAAAATGTTGATACTAAAAAATTGAAAAAAGAAAAAGAAAATTCCTCTTTGTTGGTGATTAATACTATTGTTATTGTCGTGAGAAAAATACTAAAGACTAATATTATTTATTTATAAATTATTGAAAAGAAATATGCTATCATTTTTTCATAAATTGGGAATTCGTTTTTTCAAATAATCAAAAATTAAAAGTAAAAATTGATAAATATTTATCGATTCTCAATATTTTTTATGCTAATTTACAATTGAAACTATTACCATCGTTGTTGTAGAAGGAAATGACGATATCAATGTCGCGACAATAGATAATGCATCGTCTCAATATAATGTTTCCAATTATTTATGGAATTTGGTATTTGAATTAGAAGAGGAGGAAGTAAAAGTTTAATTATTTGTTAAAACTTTTTTATGAAAAGAAAAATGAAAAAGCGAATATCAATCTTTCCCACTACTATCATGGTACAACTTAATCAGTAACAATAAATATACATAGTAAATATATTAAATAGATTCATAATTGAAACCATCATCATTTCCACCTTCTTCTAAAACCTTTGCAACATTTAATAAAGTATTTTCATCACCATATTGTGCCATTAATTGCAATCCAATTGGATATCCATCTAAAGGAGATTTTCCAAATGGAATACTGATAGCTGGGATACCTATTATTATATAAACATATATATATTTAGAGAAAAAGTAAAATTTTTTCGCAAAATGTGTTTATACTAACCAGCTAAGTTTGCAGGAACTGTGAAGACATCATTTACATATGCATCTACAAATTTATTATCATAATCATCGTTTCTTTGATCTTTAATTAATGATGATGTTGTCGAAGAAAAAGTGCCTGGTATTGAAAGACAATTTTCTAATGTTGGTGACGTTGACATTGCAACAGGTGTTAGTATTACATCTACTAATTGATGATGAGGATAATTACTGTTTTTGTTATTGTCTCGGTTTTTTGTCATCATTGATAATGGGTTTTGTCTTTGAAAAATTTTATCAAAATCTGATTGTATAATTCTACGAATTTTTTGTGCTTGGAGAAAATAGTTTTCATATGATCTATGATAATAATTTTGTAAATTATTTTTATATCTGGAAATTTGCGCATGAATGTATGAATATTAACTTACCCAGCTGTTAATGTATAAGCACCTAACATTATTCTACGTTTTACTTCCTGACCAAATCCTTCATCTCTTGTATTAGCATAAAATAAGTCATTGCCGTCATTACTAATACCACCATTGTTGTTATTGCTGCTACTGTTGATATCATCCTTTTTTGCTAAGTCTTTATCACTTCGATGCCCTTTTTTAAATATACGCGCACAAATTTATAAATATTGAGTTATTTATATTCAATATATATCAAAAATTTTTTTTAAAAAAAAAAAAATAACAATAGTACTCACCATATCTTAAACCATCATATCTTGCTAAATTAGATGACGCTTCAGCAGGTGCTAATATATAATAAGCCGGTAGTGCATATTTTGTATTAGGGCATGAGATGGATACTATTGTTGCACCACATGAGCGAAGATATGAAATTCCTTTTCTCCATAAATCAATAATGGATTTATTCAATTCAGCTACAAAGAATTCCTATAGATGTCACATAAAATAAATTAACCAATTAACCAATTAACCAATTAATCATCATCCTCATCCCTTACTATTATTCTATTTTTAATCAAAGAATAATAATTATATTTATACTTTTGGTATTCCAACACGTAAACCATTCAAATCATTTGGGTTATTGTTATTTTTTGGATTGAAAAATGATGGTATTGAATTATTGAATTCTCGTACCTCTGGTGGAATTGAGGTTGAATCTTTTACATCATACTTTGATATTAAATCTTTATATAAAGTAGGAAAAAAGGAATACAAGCACAATGTGTTTATCTATATATTTGTTCATGACCAACCAAATATTCCATTGTTAATTAATAAATTCCATACCGTATACTAATTTAGAGTCATCAACTGTTCTCGTCAAAATGCCAACTGTATCTAATGAATTTGCATATGCAACTAAACCCCATCTAGAACATTGACCATATGATGGTTTAAATCCAATAACTCCACAATATGAAGCAGGAAGCCTAACTGATCCACCACTATCAGAACCAAGTGCTCTATTTATTCATCATAATATAAAAAATACATTATTATATATATATATATACATAATATATTTTGCTATTATATCATCATCAACATAATCTTCACAATCATCATCATCATCATCATCACCTACACATAACACATTCCAGATGCAACAGCTGCTGCACTGCCTCCAGAGCTACCTCCAGCAACTCTATCCTCCTCTAACTCTTCTTTATAAAATTTTTCAGATTTTTTTTTGTAAATATATTTTCTTGGGTTAAGAACAGGTCCATAAGCACTATAGACATTTGCCGATCTAAAATATTTAAATATAATATAATATAAATTTTATTTTATTTTTTCAATAATATATATTTAATTGATAATATACCCCATTGCAAATTCATCCATGTTTGTTTTACCCATCATTATAGCGCCAGCACTGTTAAGATATTCTACAACTGATGCATTGTATGGAGATTTAAAATCTACATAAAATTTGAAAAATCAACCTGTATGAGGTAAATCAACTAACTCTCAATGGAATTTTTTCTACAAAGGAAAAGAATAAAATAAATAACCTTTTAACATATTTGATGCACAAGTAGTGTTTAATTCTTTTGTACAAAATACATCTTTATAAGCTATTGGAATACCGTCTAAATGACCTTTATGTTTTCCTAATAATGAATTTTTTAATTTAAATATTAATTAAATATTTTCAAAATACTAATTATCGCCTATTATTACCTCGATTAAATCTTTGATCTGCTTCGTTTGCCCTGTTAAATAACTCATCTTTATCTTGAATTGATATGAAAGCATTGATTTTATCATTGTATTTTGTAATTCGTGATAAACATTTCTCTACTAAATTAGTTGAACTTGTTTTCTTTGATTGTAACAATTTAGAAATCTAATTTATATAAAACTTTTATAATGTCAATAACATTAAAACGATATTTATAATAACAATAAAAATAATCATTAATAGTAATCAAGTTGTATACAAAAATATGTGAATTAAACGATTACCTCAATAATCGGCATTGAATGCATCTGTCTACTTTTATCATTACAGTTGCTAATCCTACCATTAATAATACTGTTTTTAAATTTTAGTGTAAACCTCATTTTAAAAATTAAGATAATCAGTAATTTGGAGCGAAAGAAGATCTTTGAACCCAAACTAACCAAAATTAAAAAAGGAAAAAAGGAGTTGTACAAGAATATCGCGTAACAAAGGAACTAATTTATGAATTTTAAAAATGAATTCGATTGTGTATACATATAGACGATAATTGAATTTGATTTAAACAGTTGAAATGAAAATAACTCTAGATCATGACATCATAGTAGTAGTGGTAAAGAAGATACATCTAACCCATGGGAAAATGGTGATGATGAACCACCAAAAATTGATAAAGAAGCATTTTGTAAAGCATATAAAAATATTTTAAAGCTGCAGCTGAATACATGAGGAATTGTATGAAATGTTCTATTTGATTTCGTGAAAGACAAAATTTCTTGAAGATTTATTTTATATTCACAATTCTAACACATATTATCAGCCACATGCATTTGTATATAATTGATTATTGCTATGATGGTGAAGATGTTAAGTGTTTTTTACTGAAAAAAAAATGATGAATTGACTGTAGGTGTCCCAATGATGACACAAGATTTTGCATCAAGGTCCTTCGTAACATTACCATAATTACCATACCTTTCAAGTGGTGTAATATAATCATGCTAATCAAAACTATGACCAATAGTGGATTTTAATGACTATGAGACATTAGTAAACTTATACTATGAACATTGGTTCACTGTTGCATTGTTATTGATCTTTATATGGAAGACACGAAACTAGGAATTAATGCCAGAAGGTTTCATTGTATTTTTATGACTTGTACAATCAATCACCAAATAATTTGTTTCTAATGTAGCTTGTTTATTATAAATAATCCATACTATATTTAAAGCTCCGAACGGTTCAGTTCGGTTCGGTTCGGTTTTTCAGTTTTTTGGTTTACATTTTAATTTAAACCAAAAATTTCAGGTATCCCAAATTCGTTAACTATGCAAAAATAAACATAACATAATAACTTATAATGACTTGTGGCTGAATGTATGTTGCGAAGTAAAAATGCTGGAAGGATCCTGCTTCTATATACATGAAGTTATAAAGGATTTTAGATATTTAAAAATCCGTTAT